AAATTTCAAAGATGTATTTTCACTGTTTTTATTCATTGGTATATTTATCACTGATTCAAATTAAGAGAGTACCAGTACCTTTGGATTAAACCTCTCTTTACAATTCAAAATTTAGCTTAAGATTTGAAATACTTATCGATGACAATTTCAATAGCAAAAACAAGAAATGAACAAGAATATCCAAAAAGAAGAAGGGCAATCATCAAATTTGTAGCCTTGGATGTCAGGGAAATTTCCTGTTGAAATATATCAGCAAAGCTATGTCGAACAATTGATTTAGGAATATATCTAGCATCCCACTTGTTACTTAGACCTGTTTCCGTAAAGACCGACATAGCACTATCAAATCGATATTTATAAGGAGAACCTTCTTCAAGATATATTCCACTTGGCCATAACCCCGCAATGTTTTTTAAAACTTTCACTTTATCGACATTTCTTCTTCTTTTAATATTCAATTGAGCTAAATCTTCTCTGCTCATATAAGAAATATTTTTGTGATCTGTCAAAACTTCCATCCACTTTTCAAGTGTATCATTGGAAATAATTTCATTCTTCATCAGCTTTTCGTATGGGTCATTATCATCAAGTCCACCATCCTCAGTGAGATTTGCAGAAATAACAAGTGTTAAATTAGCATCGAGTAAATCTTTAAATGTTTCCATTTTTCGAAAAGACTTTTTTTGCAATTGCATTTCTGATAGGGTTGTAAAAATGTAGGATGATTGTAGAAAATAGAAAAACAACATTGATAGAAATATTATTCTTTCCATTGTTTTCTCGGGCATTTTTGGAATGGGAAATCCTAGTACCATTTGAATAGCGTAAATCATTTTCCACTTTTGACGATCAAAATTATAGTATCTGGCTAGGAGCACAGGTATCAAAAACAGAGACAAAACACTCATTATGTTAAACAAATGCAATTCGTTTGTAAAAATTCCGACTTCACTTGGCAAGATTGGTGCCACAAAAACGAATCTAAAGATTTTTGTACCTTTCGAAATAGCGACAAAATTGTTTAAGCATGTTTCATAGATTGCACCTTGAATGGCAATGAATTGAATTTCATTGTGAATTGTTTTGTTCGTAATACCAACATTTTTAGCTTTATCACAATTTATTAGATCCCAATTGGAAGTATTCGAAATGACCATTTCCAAGGAGAAGTTTAAATACTTTGACATCACTTTCATCAAACTAATGTCTGTCCCGTAAATGTTTACAACATGTCCTGTTGAGTTGCGTTCGACATAGACATAAGGTGGATAGTGAAATATTCCGGCTTTCATTTGGTAACCATTTAAATTGCGAAGTTTGTCAGGAAACAGAATGCTATTTTTTGAGAATTTTTTTTTAGTAGACATTTTTGTGAATGGGTTGTAGTGGTGCAGTTTGACAACTTCGCGAATCGAGTTCTCTGGAAATATTTCCTTAACCTCAAGGATCGTAGTGTCCAGAAACTGTTTGGTCCACAAGTAAAGAAAAAATTGTTGATAAGTGGCACGTTTTACAGTTTTTGTTATAATCAGTACTTTTGGACGTGTTTTTGGTTTTGATATCTCGAAAATAGAGTTCATAACATTGTAAATCTTTGACAAATTTTGGTTAGCATTCCTGTTGGAAATAATAAGGATCGTCGTTGTCTTTTGTAGAGACAACTTCCTTTGATTGTTGATTTTTGCAATGCTTGTGAAATCAGCAACTTGTGTTGGTATCATTCGCGAAATATTTTTCGCAATTTGATAAATTCCACTGTTGTTAAAATCGACTTCGTACAATAAAAGCAGTTGATTTGTTTTAGTATCCTGTTTAAGGATTGTTACTAAACAATGAAACCAAGTATGAGTTGGTACTATTATTTTTCCGTAAATGCAACCGATTATGCAGAGAGATGCAATTAAACTTTTGGGAATAAGCTTCATGTTGTTTATTTATAAATAATACAGTGGAAAATCGTTAGAAGCAATCAGCTCTTAATATCCTCAAAAATTTAATGAGAATGCTTTTACAATGACGTAAATTGTTTTGACTTTTGTAAGAGTGATTTTTATTTGTCCTACCTTCACTACATACTGATTTAGACTGGTATAAACACAACTGCGTAGTGCAATTTTAAAGTTAAAGGTCATTTCAAAAATCAATAAGATTATTGACAGTTTACTTTTGTATTTTAAATCTGAGTGGAATTTTATTTCTTGAAATTGCATAGGTATTCACTTATTTCAAATGTTAAAAGTCTCTCGAGCGGAAATTTAAAATCGATTTAGATGTCTTCCAAAACCTTAAACTTGAATTTTTAAAAGATTTTAATTAGGGATTTTAAACAGTTTGCTATTTTGTAACTCAAACGGAACTGTAGCGTTTAACATCAAATTAAAATCTATAACTTCTAACTGCTGCTGCTAATGATGATTTACAATAGTGAATGGAGGATTTCTGGATGTTTTTATCATTTTTATATACTTATCACCATAGTTTCAAATATTTCAGTCATTTTCTTTTTCATCCCATAGAGTTCAAAATTCCTCTCGCATTAACAGTAGAAGTGACCACGTATAGGATAAATGTAGTAAATTTCAATTTAAAAATGTTTTGAAACCAAAGATTAAAACGTTATAATTTTGATTTTGCCCCTCATAAGCATAAAAAAATAAATAAATTTTTGAGTAGATTTTATTGTAACAATCGAGTTTGAGTTCTTCAGAAATCGCGTACATCAGTAAATAATTATAAATAGGTAGCTACCCTTTTTATAAAATCCTTATGCAATCCCTCTACACTGTTAAAAATCGGGCTTCAACTTTACACTAGAAAGATTGAATTTATATTGTTTCAATATCGAAAAGTGCGAATGTTTTTATTTCATTGGCTTAAAGTTTTTTTCCAACCAATGATATGCAAACATTCACACTTTTCGAGATTGAAAATATAGTATTTCAATCTTTTTTAGTGTAATGTTGAAGCACGATTTTTTAAGTGTATGCCAAGGAGACGTGTAACTGCAATTGTTGACACCAAAATGTTCTTCGTTTAAAATTGCCTTCTTTAATTATATAGATATTTATCTTTATCTGCTTTATGTTGTAAAAAACTCATCTGGATATTCATTATTTTCATTTTCGTAACATACGCAGTTTTAGGTTTGTTAAACAAAAAATTAACATGATGACTGAAGAAATTGAAATATGTCTTTTTATTGATGGGAGGATCTTCTTTACCCATTTCGTTGTAATAAAACTCTAAAAATAATTCAAAAAATTTTTCTAAATTCAAATCTGAATTACCAAAACAGTTTAAACTGGAATGTTCGCGCCTATTGTGCGATTGTGAATGCGGAATTAATTCGCAATGCGTTTGAATTAATCTTTTCAAATCATCTGTCAATTTTACAATATGATTTTTGTGTTTCCCACGTATAGGTCACTTAAAGTTTCGTTATTTGTTAATATTTTTTTAAATTACTCCAAATTGTTCACCTGGTGATAATGTTATTTTATCCACCTGCTGAAATGAATAATGTTATTTTGTTCAATATTATAAATTTTTCTGACAAATGTTATTTTGTACACCAAAAGGGGATTTTTAAGCCATATAAATTAAAATTTTAAAACACTAGCCTGTGTTTATTTTTGGGTATTGTGAAATAAAATATAAAAGACTTATTTATATCATTTTATGTAATAATAAACTTTTTTTTGTTTTTTGCTTCCTCGTGGAGGAAGGTTTGTAGTCCTTTCGTTTATAAAATTTTTAAAAATGGTGAAAACAAATTTTTTTCTATATAGAAACATGTTATATGGGATCCTGATCAATTGCCCGGATGTATGTATGTATGTATGTGTGGATCGTTTTTGTGAACACGATATCTTTAACAGGTTTTAATGGATTTGGGTAAAATTTGGTAGGCTTATTTATCACATTAATCTCTCAAAAATGACGAAAGCATTTTTAAAAATACCTCCAAAAAAAAGTTTATCGTCTTTTTTCCAAAAATTTTTTTTAATTGAAAAAATTTTTAATTAGAAAAATTTAAGGTAATATATAATATAATCGTCTTCCTTACGTCAAGACGAATCGATTTGATTGAAATTTAAAGAATTAATGAAAGTTAAAAAAATCAAAAATTCTCATTTTAGCTAAAAAATGTTATGTTTATTAAAATGCAAGTTTATATATGAAATAATTTTATTCTCTGCTTTAAAACGAATCGATCGGTATATATAAAGTATAGATTTGATTTAAATTTTAAGAATTAATAAAAATTGAAAAATCAAAAATTCATATTTTAGCTAAAGAATTTTGTGTTTTTTTAAATTCAAGTTAATACATAAAATAATTGAATTCCTTGCATTGAAACGAATCGATTCGTATATATAAAGAATATGTTACACCCAAAATAAATTAAAATTTTCTTAATTTTTAAAAAAATTTAATTAATTTAAATCAGTTTGTAACTCGAAATGTTTTAAATCAATTAATTGAATTAGAGAAATTCATAGCTTCCTCCACGAGGAAGCAAATTTTTTGCTTCACACAATGAGGAAGCAAAATGTTTATGAAATAAACATAAAGGACCCCCTCATTGTTTTTTAAGTTAGAGCAATATAATAATCTCGACTAGTTTTGAATGAAAAAGATTTCCGACCCACAAAAAATATAGAGATGTCCTGTTTTGTCATTTTTGAGATATAAATTAAAAATGTAATAATTTTTGAAAAAATGAAGTTAGGATTATTCAATATATAGTGATGATAATTCTGCACTTTAATAGAATTCAATATAAACATCGAATGATAGAATGAAATAAACAATTCGTTATACAATTAATGCCGATAGACATAAAACAATATTTCAACATTTACAAAATATGAACTTTTTTCTTGATCTTCTAGCAATGAATTAGAGTATTTATAACTTACATAAGCAATAACGTATATATTTGCCGGTTGTTTATTAAAAACATCAGCGATAAGATTATAAAAGCCACAGTATCTTGAGAATTGCATAAAGCGTACAGAATGCATTTGTGAATAAATTAACAATACAAAACGCATTGATAGTATAAGCTATACTTTGACTTGAGTCAGTAATTTATCGTTTTTCCATACGGATTGTTGGAAATTTTTAAAAGGAAGAAAAAAAAGTTTAAAACATTAAACGCATCAAAAACTGTAGTATTACCGCTATCAGCCACCCACTATTATACATTTGATACCACTTGTTCGAATTATTCCTCATCGTTCCTTAGTTTAGAAACCGGTTTCACTTTTTCTGTTCCGCCGTCCGTGACCACTACAGTTCCTATACATTATACACTTCTACGTTCCACATAGATATGGATGAACCACACAACGCAACATACTTAGGTCTAGATCTTAGTACACAACAGGTAAATTTTTTTAATAATCTACAAATTTCTTCTGCTTTTTCTCTATATATTCTCATTTTTTCAATTATATTGATTTCGTACCTATTCTTTTCTTTTAAACATCTTGTAAATTAATAATTGAAAATGTTTATGATTTTGTTGTGTTATTTTGTGTACAATATTATAGACTTTATGTGATATCTGTTTATTGATGTTTCAATAAGAATCTTAAGATTTACAGAATGCATTAATAAAATCAGAATAATTATTATTGAATAGTAATTTTAATTTTCCTAATAATTAGAATATAAAAAAAAACACGAAAAATAATATATTCTTATGCTATAAACAAGCATCAATTTGACATTTCAGTTGGTAGTGCGCAGGCGTCATTCTTATTCCTCTGTCCCATAATAATATATTGAATCAAACAATTCAAATCTTTATATTTATCTTAAATTTTCAAAATTTAACATCACTAATTGTAAGAATTATCAACTTGTAAATTTTTTGATCCGTTGTATTAGATTAAAATATTTGGAGTCTTTTTCATGCTTTTTAAACCCTTTTTGTTGAATTCAATTAAACTGTCAGCAATATTTAAGTTATAGTTCATCAAACCGGTTGAAAATTTTTATGTTATTTAATAGAATTAAATTAATTTCAATTTTAATCTACTACTCTATCGGAATTAGAATTTGTACGTTTTTATGTTAAAAATTAAAATGTATGCGGATGAAATTATCTCTATAGAAATTAAAACAAAAATTCAAAAATATAATTAATTTGAAAGTTATATGGTTATTACGAATTCAACTACATTTGCAAACATTTTAAGGGCAAAATTTTTTTAAGCCCGTTTACATGTGTATAAATTTTTAATTTCTTTTTCATTCAATCTTTTTTTACCTCGGACAGATTAGTAATTAGTAATTTCAAAAACTGCAATTAAAATTAAATTTAATTCGTCCTCCATATACTGGAATCTATATATAATTTTATATTACAGATTTCTTAGAGTATTATTAATTATATTGTTAATTAAATAATTTAATTCTTAATTATTATTAGAATTCAGTCTACTAAAACTTTTAATGAATTCTGTTGCATTAAATCTTCTTGCAATTAGAAAATTAATATAAATAAATTAATGAATATAATTAATTGATCTTATAATTATAGAAAGCTTTATAATTATACAGGTTTTTGAGAAAACTGAAGAGTCAGTGTCAAGTATGAACTCGTAGTATTATGACGTAGACAAAATAGTGACCCGGGTCACTGTTTATCTCATTTAATGATAACGCATGTCATATCAGAAATACTGCAGAAAAATTATATATATTTGCATTCTACTTTGACATTTTTGATATATGGTAAACTCGAGTATAATTCGGACAGTGTACTGATACTCGGACACTTTTATGTTTTTTGTCGAAATAAATAATAATACTCATTATCAAAATTACTTTATAAAATGCATTGATCAAATCTATGAGGCTTATATTTTATAAAAATGTTTCCATTTTATAAAATATATGAAGAAAAAAATATAGGGGAGAGCGGGGCAAAGCCGCTGATGTAACATTTATTTATAAATATTTTTGTTATTACACCTTCAATTGACGTGATTTTTTTTCTATTTCATCTAAAACTAATTAATAACAAATTTCAATAGTAATTATTTAATTTATTATAAGCTTGATTAATTAATTTAATTATTTTCAAAGAAATGCAAAAAAATGGCTTTGCCCCGTATGGCGGGGCAGCGACGTTTTTGCTTATATTTTTTAAAGGTAGAAAATTATAGCCTTTAAAACTGTACGAAGTTACAGTAAATGACCTAATATCTTTGAAACATAAGTATTTTATACATTTTTTAAAGAGTTTTAAGTTATTTTATAAAAAATATCAATACTTGTATTTTTAACCTCACATTTTGAATTCAACTCTTCACTTTTTCGTTGAAAAGTCTACTTTACCGACTGTTCAAATTCAAAAATAATTTAAATAACGGCGCGAAAATATGAAATATTAATATTATATTTACATAAAATTTATCATTTTTTTAATGTTAATAATAAATTTGAATACTAATAAATTAATTTATGTTCTAAAAGAAATATTATTTTAAAATTATACAATTTTAATATATTATATAATAAAAACAGATTTTTTACATACAAATAACTAATTTCCTTTATTTTATTTGATTTTGTAAAATAATGTAACATAATAATATAGGTAATGTAAGATAATAACAATAATAATAAAAAATAATTAAATTGAAATATGCAATTTTTGAAAATAAATAAAAACAATTATTTAATATTATTTTATTTAATATTAATTTATTAATTTCAATTTATGTTTTGGTTAAAAAATCAGGTTAATATTTGTTGACACTTGATTCATGTGAAGTTAGAAAAACTTCAAATATGAAGGTAATGCAGATTTTCATTTTCAACTGTTTTTACGAAACACTTTTTAAACGGCTTTGCCCTCAATGACATACATTTTTTATTTTTAAAATTTAATTTATTTAAATAAAAAATAAAACCTAAATTTCATGCAGATCGTGTAGATAAATGTTTCATTTATTCAAGCAAAAAGTTTTTAAGAACTTAGTGCTTAAAACAATTTTTTAAATTTGAATCTTCGATCAACGAAATTTTCATCTCTTCCTTGCAAAAACTATTTTTATGTTATATTTCCTAATATATTTAATACTTTTTAGCTGTTTCTTTTCCAATCTATTGCTTTAATCGTATTAATAATAAACTGTTAACGAAAATGGTAATAGATTAGAAAGAAAGAAGATATTTCAAAAAACGCCTTTGCCCCGCTCTCCCCTATATATTTTCTTGTTTATCCAAAAACTCACAGTTTTCGACTACTGGCGCTATGTTCAAGTTGCACAACGAATTAATACAGATTAATCATAAAAGATGAAATTTATTAAATTATATAATTGGATATAGGTATTATGATCTTTAATTTAATTATTGAGCACAAACTTTTTATTTTTTACTTCATAAATTCATAATGTTCGTCTGTAATCATGATGTTCGAAAATAGCAACAGTGTCCGACTACTGCAGTTTTTGTGGCTTTTTATTAAAATGTTTATATTCTATTAAATTAATTAATTTTCTTAATTATCTTTTTTCAAAAACTTCAAAATTTAATTTAAATTTAATCAGTTTCAAACGAATTCATTGAAGTTTTAAAAAATATTTACGCCATATTGGATCCGCCATTTTGAATTCGCCACTTTTTATTTGAAAGAGTATGAGCTGATGATTATTTTGAGCTGTATAGGTATTAAATTGATTTTCGTTGAATAAATTTTTAGAAGAAATTCTGACATTGACGTGTAACATCCCATATACATTTTTTTCAATGTAGAATAAAAAAAATGGTTGCAATCAAATCTAAATTTGAACCAGCCAATCAAATGTTCTTCATAAGAAACTGTACAGTTAAAATAAGTGTACCTTTTCGCATCGAATTGATTCGTCTTGGTTAAAATAAGTGAAGTTCCAGTGTAATAGATAGTTTAAATAATGATAAAGTTCTTTAATAAATGAAATTAAACAGTTTTAACAATTCTTGTATTTATGATTTTTTCAATAAAACGCAGTTGGCACAGAAAGAAACTTATGAAGACTTAAAATTTGAGCCACTCACTGAAAAAAAATTCTGGTTAGGCTATATTTAACATTACTTTCTAGTTATGTTAACCAGAATTCTAGTTGAATTAACTAGAATTCTCGTTAAAATAACCAGAATTCTGGTTAACCTAACCAGAATCAAAATGTTAAATATACCCTAACCAGAATTCTGGTTATTCTAACTAGAATTCTGGTTATTCTAACCAGAATTTTTTTTCAGTGCTCTACCTAACCGTTTTAAGAAATACTTAAATAAAATATTTCGTGCGTGTTTTCACAAAACTATCGTAATTTAAATAATAAAAAAACGTATGTGAAAAATTAGAAAGCGACCGTAATGCAAGTGAGATTTTATCTCCGTAAAATTCAAATAAAAATCAAAGTACTTTAAAAGTGATTAAATAATATTTTACAACTATTGCTATTAAATATTTTATACTTTATTCAAGATATGTATTGTAAAATGATTTTTTTATTATCTTCAATCATAATTCATCATTAATGTATAAAGAAAACTTTAAAGTTGCTGATTTTTATTTAGTTTGCAAATTTTTTTTAATATTGAAACTATCATTTCATATAAAAAGCTAGAATTTTTTACTATTTTTTATTTATATCCATCAGTAATTTTTAATTGTTTCTTTATATAATCTAACAAGAAAGTATATTTACACATTAATATCCGCGGTAACGTAAATGCAAACTCAAAAACCAATAAACAAAAAACCAAAAAAATTTATATTATATAGTGAAATTGTTTTTGTTAATTGATGTATAAAAATTATTTTGACAAATATAAAATTTATTTATTTCAGCTAAAGGCAATAGTCGTCAACAGTGATCTCCAAGTTATATGCGAAACGAATGTTCAGTTCGATAATGATTTACCCGAATTCAGGTATGTTGAATATTGTTATAGGTTTATTTTTATGCAGTCACGAAGTAGTTTAAGGGGCGACGTAACGCCTATGGTAGATTCCGTTGAAAGGCAGCCATGAAATTATGTTCTACATATCTCAGATTTTTCTCAATCAGGCGATGAGAGCGCGATGCACGTGAGTTTCCTTGAGGTAGCACCACTTTTCAGAAGGCAATGGTATCATATTAAAATTTTTTTTTTGCAAGTTGTGAAATCAAAATTTTTTATTCCATCCATTTTTCACATAAAATTATTTTGTTCCAATGGTACATTTTTAAATGTATTAACATTGAATTAATATTATAGTCCAATCAAATTAGTCGAAAAAGAAGGCATATCATGTTTTAATTCAGGACCTCAATTTTTTTGCTTAAACTCTTTATTTTGAGGTAAAAATAAAGTACCTAAATTCGGTACTTCGAACTCCTACCGGAATCTAAAAATTTTTTAAGATATAGGTGCAAAAAATCAGTTTTTTGCAAATTGCCGCTGTCCATGACATTTTAGCATAAAAATAGTTATTATAAAAAAGAAAGTGTATAAAATTCTGAGTAATTTGAAAAAAAACAAACTCTGTAGCTCAAAAATTGACCGAGATATAGCTTCCGCAAAAAAAACCCATTTTTTCGAGATTTTATCTAAAATCCGGTATTTTTCAGTTTTTCCAATATAGCTTTGAAACAAATGATTTTTTGAAAAAATGACCAACAGGAAAGTTAAAGCTGACAAAATTGCTGACAATTTACAGAAAAGAACAATGTAATAACTAATAGTTCCCGAGATACAGTCTCTCAAAGTTGACCCGTTTGAGGTTTTACATAGAATTTCATTTTATTACCATTGATATGTAAAATCTTAAAAGGGTCAAAATTGAGAGACTGTATCGCGGAAACTATGAGAGATATTACATTGTTCTTTTTTGTAAATTGTTAGCAATTTTGTCAGCTTTATAACTTTCCTGTTGGTTGGTCATTTTTTCAAAAAATCATTTGTTTCAAAGCTATATTGGAAAAAATGAAAAATATCGGATTTTAAATAAAATCTCGAAAAAATGGGTTTTTTTGCGAAAGCTATATCTCGGTCAATTTTTGAGCTACAGGATTCATTTTTTATCAAATTACTCAGAATTTGATACACTTTCTTTTTTATAATAACTATTTTTATGCTAAAATGTCATGGAAAGCGGCAATTTGCAAAAAACTGATTTTTTGCACCTATATCTTAAAAAATTTTTAGGTTCCAGTAGGAGTTCGAAGTACCAAATTTAGGTACTTTATTTTTACCCCAAAATAAAGAGTTTAAGCAAGTCCTGAGTTAAAACATTTAAAAATGTTAACTTAACTGGACTATTAATATTACTTTTTTTGTGATATGATAAATATACACTGTAAAATAAAATTATAAAAATACATTTAATTCAAGTACCCAATTTATGCATTTTATAATATGCACATTTCAGTCTTTAAAACATGAGGCATTTCATATGAGAATACGGGGTCATGTCTCGGATTTTTCTCAAAATTCGGTAAATTGTAGTGATAGTGGTGCTAAATAAGTGTACAAATTTTGAATTTGAAATTTTTAATATTTTTCGAGATACTTACAATAACAAATTAGAACAATATTTTTTTGCTTTACTTATAACTTTTTATCCACTAAAAATAGAGAAAAATGTTGAGAATGTTTTTTACGCAAAAGACCTTAAACTTTTAGAAAAAAATTATTTTTTAAACAATTTGTTTAAAAAATAAAACTTGTTTATAAGTTTTAAACATGTTCTCCCTCATTTTGAATATTGTTTAAGTCATAATAAATGGATGATTAAATTTTTGAGATGGCATTATTTTTTGTTTTCGAGATATTAATTAATTAACTAACAAAAGTTAATAAAAATGAAATATTTTACAAACAAATAAAATTAGAATAATTTAAAAAATACCATTCCAATGCTTATCGAAATCCGCATCCAACGAGCCCTATATGAACTATTTTGGATAAACGGGTGTTAAATTAATAATTAATAATAAAAATTATTTAAATAAATAATTAATAACATTTGAAGAAATGAAGATAAATCGTCAATTCTCTTTTTATTTGGAAGATCATCTAATTCTGCGTCAGATAAAACCAGTGTAAATAGCATTTTTAACAATCCAAATTAGTAACAGATGATTATTGAAAATCGTTGTTTCAGAACCCCACGGCACAACTCGGCAGAGGTTTCCTACCTACTAAGCATGGTATTTTTCAGTCTTTCTTTAAATAACATTTTATAATTAATTTTCGATTCTTAGTAATACTAAGGGTCAGTTTCACCAACTCCGGTTAAAAGTTAATCAGCGATTAAATCCTTAACCGACCAATCATGAGCGGTTAAATTGGCTTTAATCGCTGATTAACTTTTAACCTGAGTTGGTGAAACTGGCCCTTAATGTTCTTTTTTTGCCGCAGAATTAGATGATCTTCCAAATAAAAAAAGAATTGACGATTTATCTTCATTTCTTCAAATGTTATTAATTATTTAAATAATTTTTATTATTAATTATTAATTTAACACCCGTTTATCCAAAATAGTTCATATAGGGCTCGTTGGATGCGGATTTCGGTAGGGTAAATCCGGAGGAGTTGGCCATAGTTTTTTTAAAGGCCTGTAAAAATAAGAAGAAAGTGATTTATGTATTAACTTTTATTCACACAAATTTGAAAGTATCAAATTGATACCAAAAATATCAAATTGATACAAATTTTTATATCAATTTGATATTTTTGGTATCAATTTGATACTTTTAAATTAGTGTGTTGCTAATTAAACATTGAACATTTAACTTACAAATAATAATAGAAATGATAAATTTTTTAAATGTAAAAATCTTAAAATTAATATTTTTTAAAAAACACGTTTGGCCATCTCTCCCGGTATGTACGGGGAAGATGGCCATAGGCGTACGGGAGAGATGTGCAGTACTTTAAAATAATTCTTTGGCTTTTCGCTTTATCAGAATTCTTAATTTAAAGTGATTAATGTCTGTTGGGGTTTCAGCAAACTACAAACTTCTTAAGACTCGTTATACGAGCCTGTACTCCTTGTACTTCTCCTTATTATACTTAATATAGTCAGTCTTTGCTCACCATTCGAGCTGCTACACTAAAAGTTGCCGGCACATAAATTATATAATAAAGTTCTCTTATTTCTTATATTTCTCGCTTACTTATAAAAAAGGCTCAAATAAATTGAAAGGCTTTGTTGACTCGGATTGGGCCAGTTGTAATCAAGATAGAAGATCCTACACTGGCTATGTATTTACTCTTGGCAATGGAGCTGTAACTTGGGAGACAAAGAAGCAGCAAACTGCGGCACTTTCTACAACTGAAGCCGAGTACATGGGACTCACTGAATCAACAAAAGAGGCAATTTATCTAACCAGATTTCTTAAAGAAATTGGATTTTGGAATCAGAAAATTGTCGACCTTTATAACGACAATCAAGGAGCTCAAAGACTAGCAAAAAATCCTATTCATCACTCAAGAACCAAACATATAGATATTAGACAACATTTCATCAGAGATGCGATTCAACGAGGAATGATCAATATAAAATATATGGAATCAGCTGAGTTGATGGCAGATGTTTTGACGAAAGCATTACCCGGATCTAAATATCAAAATTCTTTAGTGAAGTTTGGACTAAGATTGTTGTAAATTGTTGTGTTGTTTACGCTTGAGGGGAAGTGTTGGAGTTTCAGCAAGCTACAAACTTCTTAAGACTCGTTATACGAGCCTGTACTCCTTGTACTTCTCCTTATTATACTCAATATAGTCAGTCTTTGCTCACCATTCGAGCTGCTACACTAAAAGTTGCCGGCACATAAATTATATAATAAAGTTCTCTTATTTCTTATATTTCTCCTTTTATTTCTAATATTCTCATCAGGTTATGCGCCCAGAACGCCGCAGTGAAATAAACAGTGACAATTTTAAGTGCTGTTAAGTTTAATTAATTTTTTGTTCAACTGTTCAGTGGCCACGTGCGCCCACGTGTTCAATAAAAGGAAAGCGTGCCTTTTTTTGTGAAAGTTTTCATCATGAATCCTTCACATTCGATGCGAATAGAAGTCTTGGGCAAAGAAAACTTTGATACTTGGAAGCTCCAAGTAAAAGCTCTCTTAGTTAAAACCCTACCGAAAGAGTGGTACTGGAATGGTACTGAATTGGACTTGGCTTGAGTTCCACTTCAGTACCACTACCTGATAACCCATAAGAAGACATTTTTAAAGTACTTTAACAATAGTTTTAAAGGTATATAAGATCAACAAACCGTCTCTCGCGAAATACGTGTAAAACAGCAAAAAAAAACATAATAGTTTGTAGAAAATTTCTGTTAAGTTTGGAAATTATATTGCAATCCCTCCTTGAACAATAGACCCCTAGGTCCTTTGTTGAAGGATTAAAATTTTAACCCGAGTTTTATTGCTTAAAAAATTTGTAATTTTAATAACTCAACTTTAAAAAATATATATTCAGATTCGTTAATATTTCCAGATTATGAATATCTAAAATTTATCATAAAATAATTACATTTAAAAAAGTTATAATTTATCTCGTATACCTTAAGTTTGATAAAAAAATGGACATCATTTTTGAATTTAGCTGACAAAGGAAATATCATATGCATAATAATGTATGAAAATAATATAAATCCATGAAAAACAAATATAATATTGAAATAAATATAAAGTTTTAGTTTAAACATATTGAAAAAGCTAGTCGCTTTTCACTTTTATGAGGGTATTAACGGTAACTCGACCCTTTTCGCAGGTAAATTTCCCAGTTCCATTTCAGTACCAAAATGCACCAAATTAGTACTGAGTTGGTACTGAGCCCTCAGTTCCAATTTCCCAGTACCAATCCAGTACCACTCTTTCGGTAGGGAAACGACGCCTGGGAATATGTAAGTAATGGAGAAATTACAAGACCTACAG